GGGGGGGGGGGTTGAGGGTGTCGATACACGGCTGGCCGGTGGAAAAGGGATGGATGGCTGCACACGTGAGATGGCATGGTGTGGACTGATGGTCGCTGGATGGATGTGTGGATGGGCGGACAAACCGATGATTTTGAAAGAGCTGTCGGACGGTAACAGATAAACCAATGCAAGCCAAGCAGCCATCAATCACACAGCACACAGCTTGTCCGTCACGATGCACATGTACACATAGGGATGAGTGCTATGCACGCTACCGTCTCTGTTTCTCTCTCGACTAGCCAGTTGACTAAACAGCAACCCACCCCCGCCCCGCCCCGACCAGCCTGGCCTGGCCACTGGTGGCCGGCCCTTCCTCAGTCACTCATGTCACTCATTCTCTGACGAGCGTGCCGCGCCCCCTCCCCAGCTTCCTGAGCAGGTCGAACACGGTGAACACGTCGGCTGTCGCATTATCGGTCTCGTCGTTGCCCAACTCATCGCTGCCACGCACGCAGCACACACGCTCTAGCCGGGGAAACCTGGCCTGCTTCAATGGGAAGGGCAGACAGGCGTCCTCCGCCCCACTCAGACGCAGCACGCGGCACTGGCGGAACACCAGCGGCCTCATGGTCGGCTGCCGACCGCCCCACCACCGCCACTGGTCCTCGCTGTTGGATGTCGTGCACGCCACCGTCACCTCTCGCGCATGGAAGGCGGCGAACAGGGTGACCTTCTTGACGATGTGGCGAATCATGTCGTTGTCGTGGCTGGCGTCGGGGGAGAGGACGTCCAGCGTGACTCGCTCGACAGTGATGTGGAGGTAGGGCCGCTCGAGGACGTAGAGGAGGCACCTGGCCATGTCGAGTGAGATGACGATGCTCTTGAAGTGGATGTGCAGGGGGCGGGAGGCCTCACGGTTGGGCAGGGTGGGCGGGAAGTGGTACTGCGTCTGGATCAGCTGGGGCATGAACGGGTCACTCTCGGGCTGCGCACGCAGGTACGCAGGCAGCGTGGCGTAGCCGTGGTCGGCAGCTGGACTGTGGCTGGGACCAGGGGTGGTGGTCACGGTGGCGCCCCCGCGGCTCGTGCTGGTGTGCCCCCACCCGTCGCCCTGTTTCTGCTCCTCCACGACGCCGCTGGCAGTGTAGCTGACGTTGGTGTTCATCTGGGTGCGCGAGCTCCACTCGTCGACCACCACCCGCTTGAACTGCCGCATGGCCGCGTGGTGCCACACGAGGGAGTGCTCGAACGTGCTGGTGCAGTACATGGGCAGACGAGTGACGGCAGCGGTCCTCTCCCCCTCCCCACTCAACACCTTGAGCCACCTGTCCCGCTGTCGACTCGGCATGCGGCGCATCAATGGCTCGCCAAGGGCCAGGTGCGAGTGTGCTGAGGGGGAGCGCGACGCAGCCAGGGCGTCACGCGACACGTCGCCGTATGTGATGACGCGAGGCGTCTCGAGGAACGAGAGGATGTTGCCGTAGACCTCCAAGGGCACGGAGAAGCCCTGCATGGGAATGGTGGTGAGCAGCTTCGCGTCACAGTGGTGGAGGGGGAGGGAGGGACTGGGCGGGGGGAACAGGCGCGCCACCAACTTCGAAGACAACACCTGTCAACAATGACGCAACACGGATGAATGGTAATTAATGTCTGTCTGCTCGTGTGCCCACCTTGTTGTGTGCGCTCTTGCAAGCGCCATGAACCGCGTTGGCTTTCTGGCAGGCACATCGCCACGCAGCGGCAGGGTCCAGGTGTGAGCGAACAGCCGCCACTCGCTCGACGGCCCAGCAGAGCAGCAGCAGAAGGATGGCGCAGGACATCCATGGCGACGACGCGATGTGAGCCGGCGGAGGGAAAAAGCCAGCAGGCGCAGTCAATCGGTATGTCACCAGCGATTCGCCGCCCCTTGCGTGGGGTCCATCGATGTCCGCGAGAAGCCCATCGAGTTGGTGACACTTGGTCAGCAGCCACTCATCTGTGGGCATGCTGCTGCTGGCGTCTCGCTCACATAAACCCGCCAGACGCAGCAGCTTCTCCGCGCTCGACAGCGGAGCTTGCAACATGGCCTCGGCGCTGAACCAACGCACAAGAGGCGGACAAAGAGTTGATGTTGAGCCGTCGCTTGTACTGTGTTTGTGGTATCCTCACTCACCTCGAGTGTGCTCCATGTGCAGTCGTGAGCGGGAAAACCGACGGGAGCAGAGCGATGAAGGCCAGCAGCATGGCAAGAGCGAGAATCTCGGGTCAACTTTCGAAGTCACCGATTGCGTCGAAAACTACGGTAGTTGAGGTGCTGTGGAGTCCACATAGTCACCTCCTTTCCCTCGCTCCAGTTGCGAGCTTAGAGTGGGTCGACTTTGCCCACTGGTTTTGTGCCCCTTGGGTCACTTCTTCCTCCTGAGCCACACACAGCTCCTTCAAGGCGCAGCATCCTTCCCTTGACGCAGATCTTTCAAAAGCCATCTCTTGATTCATTGCAACGCGCTTCGCTCGGCGCTTCGCAGCCAAGATGATGTCGGCAGTGCGCTGTCGGCTGGCGCCCATCGCCTCTTCCTCCCTCCCGGCCCTTGCAGCGACATCCCGTCTGCCTCTGCTGAAATCAACGCGTCTGTTCAGCACCAACACGACGCCCAAGGCCGTCACGTCCACAGTAGTGATACATGAACAGTAGTCGCAACTACACACCTCGCTGACCGATTCCCAAACACACGTACGACTCTACTCTCTGCTGGCGACTGCAGGTGGATGTGCTGGGCAACGTGCCGACGTTGGAGCTGCAGAAGCTGCTAGAGGGAGGCCATTACCGCAGCGTGGTCAATCTCTGCGGGCCCGAGGAAGATTACATCTCGCCTGCCAACCTGTGTACGTAAGATTGAACAAGTGGTCGATGCGATGCTGCCCAGAACATCATTCTTATGACGTTGGTCGGTCTTGTGTATGTTTGCAGGCGAGAAGTACCGGCTCCGCTATGCCTCGCTGCCCGTCGACTCGAACAAACTCTCATTCGTAAGCCTGATGGATGAATGACGTCTCGTCTGCCTGACACTTGGCTGGTTGGATTGCTGCCTCTCTTCTGCTATGCTGTGTGTGCCAGGGTCTGGGTGAGTCGCTGGTGTCTGCCCTGTCCACCATGCCCCATCCCCTGCTCGTCCAGTGCCAGTCGGCCTCACGCGCGTCGGCGGCCGCCCTCCTGCATGTGGCCTCGTCGCCCCACGAGCAGCCCGATGCCGGCTCTGGTGGCACGGCTGAGCTGTCGATGAGCCCCGAGAGCAAGGGTACCTTCATGAGCCCGACTAAGGCACTCAAGTTTGCGGAAGAGAAGGAGCTGCCATTCCTGGGGAAACCGCCCCTCAAGCAGTGGGTGGAGGTGAGGGTTTAAACACAGCACAACAGACAGACACGGGGGAGGAATGGGGAATGAATGCTGGCGTGTACACTTACTTAGGTCTGTGTGATGTGGTGTGTGTCGTGTGTGGGTGTGGTGTGCAGCGGTATCTGTGTGCGCGTCACGTGTCGCTGGGTCACGAGGACCCTAACCTGTTCTTCCGTCAGCTGTTCGATCGCGAGAGCTGCACCTTCACCTACATCCTTGCGGACCCCAGGACACGCGAAGGCATCATAATAGATCCCGTCCTAGAGCATCTCGAGTGAGTCAGTCAGTCAGTCGATGTGGAACACAGAGAGGGATGGATGGATGGATGGATGGATGTGTGTCTGCATGTTTGTGGTTCCTTGGTGCAGCCGCGACTTGTCCCTGCTTGACGAGTACGGCATCATTCTCAAATACGCACTCAACACACACGTGGTCCGCAACAGAGAGAATGATGACCCACACCCACAGTGACCCTTGGGGATAGAACATTGTTGATGTGTGTCTTGATGCTTGCAGCACGCCGACCACGTCACCTCCACTGGCTGCATGAAGGCACGACTAGACGGTGGGTGCGTCAGGGGACCACATCATCTTTCCATCTTTCCGTCTTTCCGTCCCTCGTCTGTGTCTGTGTATGTGTTTGTGTTTGTGTTTGTGTTTGTGCAGGCTTCCGGAGCGTGTTGAGCTCTGGCTACTCGTCCGCCCGCGCTGACCTGCACGTGGACCACGACGCCAAGCTCTTCTTTGGCGACCGCTACGTGGTCGCTCGCAGCACCCCTGGCCACACACCGGGATGCCTGACGTTTGTGCTGGACGACCACTCCAAGGCCTTCACGGGAGACGCACTCCTCATCCGCGGCTGTGGCAGGACTGATTTCCAGGTGGGTGCGTGTCCTCCATCCATCCATCCATTCGTCGAAAGCGATCAATGCGTTCCGTTCCTGTCTTGGGGTCTGTCTTTTGTCCATCAGAGCGGTGACTCTGAGCTGCTGTATCGGGCGATATGGACGCAGATCTTCACGCTGCCCGAGAGCTGCCTCCTGTACCCGGGACACGACTATCAGGTATCACACACGCCGAACCACCAAATGCGCACCAATCAGTGCTGGTGCGATGTAATGTTTGTGTGTCCTGTGTCGTGTGTCCTGTGTCGTGTGTCCTGTGTGTGTGTGTGTGTGTATAGGGTCGCGAGTGCAGCAGTGTGTGGGAGGAGAAGCGCTACAACCCCCGGCTGACGAAGTCGCTGCCCGAGTTCAAGGAGCTGATGGCCAACCTGGGCCTGCCGCAGCCAAAGCTCATCGAGGTGGCCGTGCCCGTCAACCTCGAGGACGGCATGGCCAAGATACCATCGGGAGAGCTCAGATGCTTCGTAAGTGTCAGCTTGCAAGGCCTACGTGACACTTATAATCATCCATGCATGGTTGGATGGCTTGGTGGCGCGTGTGTGTGTTTGCAGGGCTGCCAAGGCTGATGGGCTGGATAGGATATTGTGGCGACACGCGTGGGTGTGAATGTGTGTGTGTGTGTGCTGCCCCGTGAGTATTTTTCGTCCTCTAGGTGATGATGCCGGCGTGATATCCTGAAACGAGTCCTGCTCGAAATGATTTCTGTTCTGCCATCCGTGCTGGGCGGTGCTGGCGTATGGCGCCGGAGGGGGACAGTGAGTGCCAGGCCAGCCAGGATTCGCCTGCTGCTCTCTGTTTCTCTCCAAAGCCATACGCCGACAAAGTCCAGCAGCAGGGCGGGCAGAAGACATGCGCACTAAGTGTTTGTTTGTTCTTGCCTGGTGAGCGATTCTTCGTAGCACCATCGCTCATGGGACGCGATAATGCCCACCTAATTTATGTTTGATCTGTGGGTGTGTGTACCTGCAAGAGAGCCAACATCGATTCCAGCAGTTCACACCGTCACATTAATTGACGAAGCCATGTCGCCTCTCGAAGGCAGAAACCGAGACAGCACAAACCCGATTTACGAATTTGCGTGTCTCGCGAACATACATCGATGGATGGATGGATGACCTTAAGGGACGTCGTCGATTGAACGATTCATCAATGTCTATTGGTCCCCTAGCACGGGTGTCTCATTCATCAAGTCAAGCGCACACTTGTTCGCCTGCCCAGCAATCGCTTTTCTCGCACTGCGAAGAAAATCTCAAGAGCAGCCAGCGAGAACCATCACCCGACCCACCCACCCATCCCGAGACACACAAACACCAGCTAAGCAGCACAGGAAGGCCATCCCTTCCTCTCTCCCCCCCCCTCCCTCCACCCATCCACACAACGCATCGAGGCCTTCCATGGCAAAAACAGCAACGGGTCGATTGGCTGTCTGTCTGAAATGCGTCGTTAGTTGTCCTCCTGGGCTTCGATCATCCGTGTGCACATACCATACATACGGTGCCACCCACTCGTTGGTGTCTAGATATATGTAGATACCAGATCGAGGGAGGGACATGACGTCACTCACGCGACAGCCGCGCTTGCAGCCATCTATTCGTTATTCCAGATAGCAGAAAAACACCATACCCATCCCATCCACCCAACCACTCACCGAGCCGAGAGAAGGGGAAAAAAGCATGCGTGAGAAAAAAGTGCCTAGCGAGTGCCTATGGGCACGGGCAGGCAGCTCCTGTGCGCAGGCACGGCCAATTCTCTCTAGAATGAATCATATGCCATGCCATAGGCCAGCGATTGATGCACACATGAAGATGAACGAACAGCCACTGGGTGTCTGTCTGTGGCTGGACTGCTGGGCCAGGCCTCACTGCAGTGCACCGCACTTCGGTGGACGGACGATGTGAAGACATCCATCTGCACACCAACCAAACACCCACCAGCAGCCGATGCGCACCGTCGCGTACACAGAAACTTCAATGTGCAAACACCGACCGACACTCATTCCCACAGCCACGAGAAATTTGCCGCTCGCCCTTACCCTCCAGGCATGTAACCGCTCACTAAGCAGCCGGGCATCCATCCACATTACCCATTCATTCTGGCAGCAAAGCAAAAATGCCCGCCCCGCCCGATTGGTACGCTCACACACACACACATCCATCCATCCATCCATTCGGCCAGTCAGACATAACATACATACGTGACATACATAAGTGCGTGCACACGAAGTGTGGTGGACACATACTGACTGACCAATCACAAACTCTGCATAAAGTTAGTTAGTGCCCACTGGTTGGTTCGTTGGCCCTACTCACTCGCCCCGTTTGAGCAGCAACGGGGCATAGAGGTACCCCAGCGTCGGCCTGGCGATGAAGTGCGCGTCGTTGGTCGCGGGCGGCGGGATGTCTTCATTCCATGGATGGATGGTCGATGCAAGCAAGACACGACAAATGAATGGATCCAGCCCGCGTCTGTGTCTGTGTCTGTGTCTGTTGCTGCGCTTACCGATCAGGCCACGACGGTTGCACGGAGCCGACACCTCGAAATAATCTGAGGCACAGATGACCACACACGCGCGCAGGGGAAGAGATACATACATATGGAGCATGTATGTCAGAGGAGGACCGACCGGCGAGTGGGACCCTCTGCGGGGTCTCGTTGGGGAAGTTGTAGAGCGCATCGACGAAGCGGCACATCATTACCTCGCCCCCCTCCATGCCCAGCAGGTACTGCTGCGCCAGGGCCACCGTCACCCCCTGGTACTCGTACAGTGACAGGTTGTTGCGCTCGTCGAGCGCCACGCCGCACCGGTCCAGCCGCCCCAGATTGATGTACGACATCATCTCTGTCGTGAAGACGTCCTCAGAGAAGAGCATGAACAGAGGCGGCGTGCTGGTGCTGGTGGTGGACTCGCTTGCCGTGACGCCTGTGATGTTCATGTTGTCCCGCCCCTGTTGTAGGATGGCCTGCCAGATGAGGTTGTACTTGAGGCTGAAGGTGGAGTTGGAGGGGGCGTCGAAGAGCCGGCGGAAGAAGGCCGCCTCGCCACCGTCCTCTCCTTCTCCCGCGGGGCTGTCCATGGCGGCCTCCACCCAGTAGCTCGCCGAGCGGGTCGCGGCCGCACGTGCGCCGTCAATGGTGGAGTTGCCGCAGGTCTCTTCTGTCCAGCAGGACTGGTTCATCGCCAGCAGGTCCGCATAAGCCGCGAGGCCAAAGGTGCCCTTAAGTGCCAGGTTGGTCGCATTGGCGTCGGGCCCCTTGAAGTCATCTGTTGGACGCAAAGCAAGCAGCCCCACATGAGCTCATGTGTCCAGTTGTGTTTGTTGTGCCCCCACCCACTGACGGGCCTGTGTAAAGCTGGTGTGGCGGGTTTGGCAGCGATTCGTTGAGGTAGCTCCCCCACTGGTCTATAACCGGCCAGTAGTCCGCCAGATAAGACACATTCCCGCCCTGTCTGTGTGCAATGGCGGCGATGAGTATCAGCATGTCGGCCGTCTCTTCCATAGGCATGTCCCAGTTTCGATAGCTGCACAATCATCCGCACATACGCACACACATGGATGGAAGGACATGCACCCACGGCTCCTGCTTGGCTCACTCGGGAGTGTCAGCGACGGGCCAGATGCCGAGGTGGTGTGGGGCCCACGGCTTGCGGTAGTGCGACAGCGTCTTGTTGGCCGAGTAGTCAAGGATGGGCACGAGCATCAGCCGGAGCACCTCGGGGCTGAACAGCAGCAGCATGGGCGACGTGGGGAAGATCACGTCAACCTATGAACACACACACACACACACAGGGACACATGTGTTGTAGAGGAGTATCCATCCATCCATCGTGTCTCGGATGGATGAGGGCACACCGTGTTGAGCATGCCGTTGGTGGATATCTCTTTCTGGAAGACGCGGTGCTCGTTGATGTAGTCGTCATGCACGACCTTCTGCCCACCCGTCACCTGGCCACGGACATGAATGACAGGACACACACGACTGTCTTGCGAGTCTTGGCGGGGGGATGTGCGCGTGTGTGTGTGTGCTCATGGTGGGCATACATACCTGTCTGTATACAAGTGACGCCACGGCCGCATACTTGGGCCCACCAGTCATGAAAAGGTCATCCACAAGACCCTCATCGAACGCAATACTCCTCTTCTGCACACACACACACACACACACGCACACACGCACACGCATCTCCGTGCACAAATCGCTGGCCCTCCACCACCCTGCCTGTGTGCGCAGCGCAGCGCACCTGTTCATCATCCCACTTTGCCATGGCGTCCTTGAGCATCTCCCCAGTGGGGTGGCTCGAGTGCCACTTGTTGTCGAATGCCCCCACCAGAGGCATGCCCTCCTCCATCCGATACACGTTGCGCCACGCCGGCTGCATGAGACGGCCGAAGAAGTTGACAGTGATCCGGTCGTCGAAGGCGAAGAGAACCCGCCTGGTGGCCGACTCGCCGGGCGCCACACTCCCGAGGTCCATCATGAGACCAAGGGCGGCGTTCCTGGCTGCACATGTATGTGTCAGAGAGACGAGTGCGTGGCACGTGTGTGTGTGTGTGTGTGTTTTGTGGTCACCAGGGCCGTCATTTCGGTACTGCTGGTTGGTCGGTTCCGTCACTTTCGAGACCAGCGCCGCGAACTTGTCAGCGGTGAACTCAGGGTCCGTGAACGCATCGATGGCCGCTCGCCAAGTCGTCCTGAGCCACACACACAGCAGACGGGATGATGAAGTTGAACACGGGCACACGTAGACGACCGACGACCGTCGTACCTTTGCGAGTTGCCCCTGCGGAATTGGTCGCTGAGGAAGAGTTCCTCCATCGACGCGTTGCCGGCAGGTGCCCCGTTGTCATCGATGCTGCCGTGTGTGTCGAAGAGGGTGCTCGTGAAGGGGACGGTGCCGTTGTCCTTGGGCGTGACCAGGTGGAAGAACCCGTGATTGGGCGTCATGCCGTCGCCTTTGAGGCCCAGCTCCACCTGAACCAATCAATCAGGAAGCAGGCCCCGGCAGACGGACAAACATGCAAGCGTCATGCATGTGCACGCCTTCGTGTGTCTGTGTGTACCTGGTGGAAGTTGCCAACGGTCAGGACGTCATGGCCCTCCACTGCCGGCGCGTTCAACGCGATGGCCACATGCTCATCCCCCCCAGTCACCCCAACATGCCCAGTGGTCTGGTACAGCAGCTGCACGTCGTGCGCGCGATCGTCCGTCGACTCCACGTCGACTGTCATGTAAGTGACCGGTGGGGCGGACACATAAGCGTCAAAGTCCTCCATGATGGAGGCAGGCGTCGCGAATGTCACGGAGAGGGCGATACCCCGTCCGGCGAATGTGTACTCGGTGCGTGTGGGCCAGACGATGAGCTGCGTCTGAGTGAGTGCTGGGACGTCCATGTCGGGCTGGTGGTGGCCGGCAGGCCACGGGCCTCTCTCGAGCATGTTGCGGCCGAGGAACCGGAACAACTGGCCATCGATGCGCACCAGACCAACCATCGGTAGCTCGTAACCTGCGCCCAACCACACACACACACACACACTCAGTCAGTCAATTTGTGTGTGTGTGTGTGGTTGGGTGCTGTGGTGTTTGTCACTTACCGGACCAGTGTGAGGGAAAACCGTCCGTGAGCTTGTTGTAGTTGGACCAAATGGAGAAGTCGGGGTCATTCACAATGAGCGGCACAGAGGGGTAGCGCAGCTTCGCCAGCCTCCCATCAGTGGTGGGGACAGTGTCGTTCTCCGGCACGGGGCACGGCGGGCCCACCTGCAGGCTGCGATGATCAACTGCACACCAACACACACACGCACACACAAAGAGTGACTCAATGTCTCTCCCCTCCCTCCCCTCCCCCCCATTGTCCCTAGCTCACCATCTTGTGTGTGTGTCGCCCTGAGGCTTCTGAGGCGGCCACCGTCCTTGGCCGATGCACACGTCAGTGTGAGGAGGACAAGAGCAGACGACAGCCACATGCACCGCATGCCGGGGGGGAGGCCGCTGCCGCGAGCAGTGCTGAGGAGAGGGCTTGTCGAGATCGATTCGATGCCGGTGCTGCGCTGCGTGTGCCGGAGGACTGGTAAGCACGTTCCGCAGACAAGGATGTGGGAAGGAGGAAAGCTCGGTAAGAAGTGACGACGAGCCTGGTCCCAATGCCGTGGATCGCAAGGGTAAGGGTTTTGAGAACAAACCCATCAGTCAGTAAACCAGTCCGCGTGCCAGTGAGTGTGCGTGTCCATCACCATGCATTATGCGTCTCTCCCTCCCTCCCTCCCTCACTCCGCCCTTTTAATTGCACGGCCGCCTCCCCTGCCGATGCACTTACGAATCTCCCATCCACTCAGTGACTCACTGGCATGCAGGCCGACCCCCGACACACATCGATAAACAGTCAATCGAGCGCCCTGAGATGGAATGAAACGCAAGCCAATCAATGCGCTGCGCAGCCACCGGGCTGCCAGGGGTCATCAACCCGACAAGTGCCGAGCCCGAACATCGAGCAACCCCGCAGGCCGGGGTCGCTCGATATTCGACAAGGACCCCGGTCGGGAGGACGACTTGGCAAGCCATCGACAGCGCGCGTCTGTCTGTCTGTCTGACTTATGAGGATGCCCACACCATTTATCACGGTAGCCATCCATCCGTGTCGGCAAAGAAGCAGCCAGCAATGCCAAAACTGGATCAACAAAGGGGTGAATGAATGAATGAAAGTATGCTCTCTCAAAAACAGGTGTGTTGCTGCATGGGTGTGTGTATGTGTGTATGTGTGTGTATGTGTGTGTGGATGGATGGATGGATGGATGGACGCCGTCGGTAGGTAGGTACACAGGCATACACTTGCCTGCCTTTGCGGCCACCCACCCAATCTCTCACTCACTCAAGTCTCGCTACCCCCCGCATCAACCCGATCTGACTCCCCCTCCCCTCCCCGCCAGACAGAGCAAACACATCGAATTCACCTTCACATCAATTTCGGAATACTTGCCAGCCACCACGTACCCATCCCCCCCGCACACACATCCATCCATCCATCATGCATTCGGTGCAGGTGGAGGGTTGTTTCACCCTCCCTCCTGTCCTGCACACCAGCACCTTTCGCCATCCTGCCTGCCTGCCTCCCATTGCCCAATCTTGTACGATAGGTACGGTAGGTACGGACCACGCCAGGCCACTATGCGCGCACGCACCTGTACAAAAACAGGGGGGCTCAAAAACAACTTCGTTATCCATTCAGTCAAATAAACACCCACACCCTCACACACACAACCATAGCCAGCCAGTCACATCACGCAAAAGAGGGGAAGCCGCCGCCCTGCCCCTGCTGTGTTGACGACGAGGGCTGGCCGTACATCTGCTGCTGCTGCTGCTGCTGCTGTGTGCCTGCGCCCATGCCGAGTGCCTGCATTTGGTTGTTGATGCTGTTGAGGGTGTTGGCCGCCTGGAAGGCCGTGTTGACCTGCTGCATGGGGGGTGGGCCACTGTAGCCCAGCTGACGCGTGGTCGGCGTACCTGACAATGGTCAACACACATGGCAAGAGGGAGAATGAATGGTCCATCGATTGTCTGTCTGTCTGTCCGTCTTGGCTGCTTACTGAGTGCTGGGTATGAGCTGCTCTGCTGCCCCTGCTGTTGCTGGCCCCCTCCGAGTCCCCCCATCCCCCCCGCCATGCCCATCACACTCCCCAGTTGGCTTTGGATACCCTGCGTGTGCTTCGCCAACTGGCTCAAGTCACTGGCCACCGACTGATGCTGCTGGCGGGTGTTGGCGGGGTCCCAGCCTGGCCGCGTCTCTGTGCCATAGGCGTCATTGGGTTCGGGGATGGGTGAGGGCTCCAGCTGGGGCGAGGGGGAATGGTACGCCGGTGGCTGCTGCTGCTGCTGCTGTTGGTATGACGAGAGGTTGGGGTAGCTTGATGGATAGGTCGTAGCGCCATACTGCTGCTGCTGCTGCTGCTGCTGGTGCTGGTAAGAGTGCTGGTGGTGCGACGGTGACGTGTTACCATATGCGAGGGAAGCCGATGTCTGTGTCTGTGTCAGGTTGGGGTAGCTCGAGTGGTCGCCATACGCGGATTGGGCGTGGTGCTGCACGGCCGTTGGGGGAGCGTACGTCTGGTGCTGATTTTGCTGTTGGGGCGAGGTGGGCGACGCATAGCCGTAGCCGCCATAGCCGTTCTGCAGGGAGAACTGCGAGTTGGGCTGCGGCTCCGGCTGTGGCTGGTAGGCGCTTCCCCCCTGGAAAGGATTCGCAAACACATCCTCGCCACCGCCGCCACCACCCGCACCCCCGAAGCTCATCATCTCAGGGAAAGGGTTGCCCGCCGAGCCGTTGAAGAAGTCCTCTTGCTGCTGCTGCTGCTGCTGCTGGTGCTGCTGATGTTGTTGGTGATGGTATTGGTGCTGCTGCCTGGCGTGTTCTTGTGGCGAAGAGGACCAGCTGTTGGCTGAGGGGAGGGGCGGCTTGGGGGAGGATGCCGGCGATGACGAGTAGAGGTTGTTCTTGAGGTCGGTGATGGAGCTGCTGGAGGAGTGGAAGGGGTAGCTGTTGCCTGGCGCACTCGGGAGCGGCAGGCTCGTACGCCGAGATGGGACGCCCCGCCGAGACTGGATGACAGCATAGCACAGGACACGAGGTGAGGCGTGATGCGGTGTGTATGGCTATCTATGTCTGGGCGTCGAGTCCACTAATGTGTGTACCGTACCCACCAGGTTGAGCTCTCTGTTGAAGGTGGTGTCCTTGATCTGCTGCATCGGCCCCTCGAGCTTGCGCAGGTACTCACCCAACTCAACAAACAGGCCCATCGTCGTCCCTGCAGCGTGTGTGCACAGACAGCACTCACACATGGCATGGCCCCCTCCCTCCCTCCTTCTCTCTCTCTCTCTCTCTCTCTCTCTCTCCCATGGCTGTCGACCTACCGAGCATCTTGGTGATGACGGGCTTTGTGTCGCTGAACTTGGTGGACAGCACGCCCTCCAGCTCGCTGCGACAGACGTCGTCCATGCGGGAGAACTCGTGTGAGCTGTTGCCCATCTTCTTCTCGTTCCTGGCCAGCTTCTCCATCTGCTTGGCGCTCTCCGCCCGCCCGGCCGCCCGCACCCTGTCCCTGTTGCATTTGAGGTTGTCGAGCTTCTTGTCGTAGTGCACCTTGGTGTTCCACGCCCTGTCCCTCTCGACCATCTTGCGCTCCACCTCTCGGATCTTGACGAGCAGCTCGTCGTTGGCCGTCTTGAGAGCCTCGAGGTCGGGCCGCATTCTGTCCTTCTGCCGGGTGAAGACCTGCAGGATGTCGCTCACGTGCACCGCCGCGCCGCGATAGGGACAGTCGTCCTGCAATGGCGTGGCGACAACAGAGACAGACAGACAAACAGACAGACAGACGGACAGGCAGTGTGGTTCGGTTTACTGCCAGCCTGTCTGTTCTGTTGTTTGTCGGTTACTTACCGTGTAGAAGTGCTCCAGAACATGCGATAGATCACCATACAGCTCCTCCATCCCTGCAGAAACCGGAAACCGCACACACAAAACAACAAAACAAACACCAAATCACACACTTGGCTCTACGCCACGCCGGCGGCCAGCCCCTTCACAAACACACAGACCCACACCACGCACCATTCATCATGGCGCCGAACTTGCCGATAAACCGCTCAAACGCAGCGGCGAATTTGTCATATTCCTCGAGCTCCGCCCTTTCCCTCTCGATGTCGTCGCCCTCCACCCGTTTTGGCTTGATGCCCATCACATCTCGGAAGCCCTCCTTCAGCTTCTCCATGCCCATGCTCCCTCAACAAGACGGTCTTGAACCCACGGGGAGAACGTTCCGGCGAACGTTTCGAATCTGCGAGCTTAGCTTGACAACACTTCCCCTCCGCACAGAACGGACTCACGCTTTGTCATCTGCTGCTTGCCGGGGAGCACCTACTGCAAGCTTGTCCGCTGAATTTCCCAGCGGCGCGTCGAGAAACACCAAAGATCACCAGCCATGAGTGTTCGGCCCTGGCTGCCCTCTCCACTCCCTCTCCCCTCCCTCCTACTGCCCCTTGTCACTCTACTCGTCGCGTCAGCAGCACTCACAAGGGCGATATCGATCTCGCACCACAGTCACGGCCACAGGGGACCATCAGCAGCAGCCGTGTTGAGCTCATCAACACAGTCAACACGAGCATTAGAGCGCCGGGCGGCCTTCCTGAGTGCGCTGCGTCAGCTGCCTGCTTTGGTGACGAAAGACAGGCCCGGCACCACCGTGCTGGAGATCCCGGAGCCGCCTGTGCTGCCGCATGAGAAGGAATATATGGACGCCTGGGTGCAGTCGGGTGAGTGAGCAGCCAGCAACTGAAAAGCATTGAGCGTCCATCTGGCTGGCTGGCAGAGCCCTGCCTGTTGGGTCGTGTGTGTCGTGCAGGGTTTGGTGGTCCCGACGTGATAGAGCGTCGTGAGTTCCTGATGCCGTCGCCCGAGCCGCACCAGGTGCTCGTGAAGGTCAAGGCCGCCGCACTCAACCCTGTCGACATAGGTATGCAGTCAATGCACGTCTGTCTGCCTGTCTGCCTGTGGGTGGGCGGCTGCCGTCCGTCTCTGCACTGACTGCACATCCCGGACTAACTGATGTAATTGATGTCTGTGCTGAGTGTGTGTGTGTTGTTGTGCAATCTACTCGACCTGCAGGTCGCCGGACGGGTTTCTTTAAGGGGTTCATGAATGAGAGCTTCCCATTCATACCAGGGTGAGATAGATAGATAGATGGATAGAGAGATGGGAAAGCGGCAGGGTCTCCATCACATCACATCACATCACAACCCCACACCCCCACAAATGTGCGTGCGTCTCCTTCCTGACCTGGGTGTCAGGTACGATTTTTCAGGGACGGTTGAGGGCGTGGGAAAAGATGTCAGCAGGTGGCGGACGGGGATGGAGGTCTACGGCTACCCACACGAGATCGGTACGTACGTCACTCACAAGGGGTCCAATCACTTCCTCCACTATAGAACTGCACTCACTGTGAGAGAAGCGTCGCGTGTGTGGTGGGCTGGGCAGGTGTGCGCCCTCAGCGGTATGGCACTCTGGGCGAGTACCTGGTCATCGACCAGAGCTTCATCGCAGCCAAACCCAAATCGATCTCACACGAGGTAAGTAAGCACAGCGAAGCAACCATGATCAGCCGACTGACTCTCAAGACCACCATCGATGGATGGATTGATGTGATGTGATGAAGGAGGCGGCCTCTCTGCCGACGGCCATCATGACGTCGCTGCAGGCCTTCGAGATGCTGCACATCAAGCCGGGCGACGCGGTGCTGTTCACTGGTGGTGCGGGTGGCGTCGGCACACAGGCCGTGCAGCTGCTCAAGCACTACTGCGGGGCGGGGTACGTCGCCACCACCGGCAGCGGATTCAAGACACAATTGCTGGAAGAACTCGGCGCGTCAGTGGTCAGTCAGTCACAGAACAGACCCCCAGCCCCACCCTACCCCCATGTGCTTACTCGTCTGTGTGTGTCCAGGTGGTGGATTTTCTGAAGCAGAACTTCACGGACGTCCTCAAAGACCTGGACAGCGCCATCGACGCGACGGGCGAGTGGTGGGAGTGCCTGCAGTGCGTCAAGGAGGGCGGCCACGTCGTCACCATCCGCGGCGGCCCCGGGCGGCCCGCCAACGTGCCCTTCTTCACCGTGCAAGCGAGGGGATCTGACCTGGAGAAGGTCCACGACCTGTACGAGAAGGGCATCGTGAGGCCGGTGGTGGACAGTGTCTTCCCGTTCGACTCCCTCCCTCTCGCGTTCAGCCGACTGGAGACGGGCAGGGTCACCGGCAAGGTCATCGTCAGGGGGCCATCTCTATAAAATATGGCGTGTGGGTCGGTGTGGGTGTGTGGGTCGGTGTGCGCGGCGGCTGTGCAGTGCAGTGCATGGTGTGTACATAGACAGACAGACAGACAGAGAGGGGTGGGAGAGAGTGAGGGGGAGGGTGGGAGGGGAGAGGGGGGTAGAGGCAGGCAGCGCAGCAATGGGGGAGGGAAAGCGGCCGGCCATTTTGACGAAATGACTGAGCGGCATGCTCCGTGCTTCCATCGTCAGTCAGTGGATTTTCCTCTTGTCTACTGATGGATGGATGGATCGGCACAGCGCGCCAGAGAGGCCGGGGTCTGGCGGGGGGGGGGGTATGTACGAGTGTGTGTGTGTGATGCATCATCCATCATGCACACCTGTTTTTGCCGACATGAAAGACATGACTGACTGACACATACGCACAGCTACCTGCCTGGCTCTACCTGTCTGTCTGGCGTAGCAAGTTGGCCACGTACAATATGCGATAGCACATACAAGAGAGAGAGGGAGAGGAGAGGAGAGAAGAGGGGAGGGAGACAGAGAGTCGGGGGTCAGCAAGAGACAGAGAGAGTTCCTTTCCTTGCTTTCGCTGTCCTTTGTCTCTTACAAGGAGCGTAGAATTTTTGTCTTTTCCATGTATGTATTGTGTGGCTGGCTGGCTGGATGGTTGTGTAATCGATCCTCTCTGCGTATGGTGGGTGCCGTGAGTGAGTGCAGCCAGCCCCCGTTTTTCCCTCGTGAGTGAGAGGAACAGACAGACAGACAGACACGTGTGTGAGAAGGGGAGAGGGAGGGAGGGAGGGAGGGAGAGGGTGTCACTTGCTGCCGTAGTGAGGGTGGGTTGGGGTAGGGAGAAAGAGGTGAGTGGAGTGTTTGTCGTGCGTATGTGTCGATAGTTCCCTTGAGGGCAAATGTGAGTGCCGTGCCATGCCATCGAGCGAGTGGGAGAGCGTGTGAGGGGCGGGCCTCTGTCGGAAGCCGTCCGTTCCAAAGCCAAGGCGAAAGTCGGTAGGGAGCTAGTAGGTAGGCACTAGTCTGTAGGACCGACAGACAGACAGGTGACCCTGTGGACGACCGGATCGGTGGCTGGCTGGATGGATGGATAATGGATGCCATGTGGTGTGGTGTGGTGTGATGAGTGTGTGTGGTTTTTTCGTGAGTGACGTGACGACACACATGCTTGCATTACAGACGGCCGGCCGGCCGGCCGGACGGACATATAAGAGGCGGCAGCCATTCGTGTGGTGCATTCTGTGTCTGATGAATGGATGGTCCATAGACACGTCGGAGTGGCTCAAACCGCGACACTCACACCACCAGCACCACACCACAAAGCTTGTGGTCTGTCCTTCTGTCTGTCTGTCCGTCCTTAGTTAACATGGCTAGGCTACGAAATGCCTAGTTTCTGCAAGGCATCCACAAAGTCCTGTCGCTGGAACACACCGCTCTGGCGCAACCAGTCGCCCATGTGCTGCAGAAACCAACCAACCAACCAGCACACAAAACCACCACACATAACAACACAACACAGACAGGCCTCTGAGTGAGTGAGTGGCTCATCTCTTCCCACCTCACCTCTCGCATGATGCCGTAGCCCATCCCTCCAGCGGACATGCCCTACAGACAGACAGACAGAGGCGCACCCCACACGCGCATTCAACACACACATGTCTGTGTGTCGCCCTGTCTCCCCCCCCCCCCCCCCCCCCCCCCCCCCCCCCCCCA